CGTCATCCCAGCTACTCCAGAGGCTGAGATCAGAGGCTCAAGGTTCAAAGCCGGCCCGAGCAGGAAAGGCCGTGAGACTCCCATCTCCAATGACCACCAGAAAGGCCGGAAGTGGCGCTGTGGCTCAAGTGGTAGAGCGCTAGCCTTGAGCTGAAAAGCGCAGGGACAGCGCCCAGGCCCAGAGTTCAGGCCCCACGACCCACAGCAAAGATCTTTTTCAATCTGTTTCTCATTTGGTAGTTACACAGACTACACGTCCACGCCAGGTTCCCACTCCAGGGCATCTTGACCAACACCGCTCTTACCCTCGAGTTCAAGGTTTACATCTGGACACTGGGTGTGATGACTGCATGTCTGTGTGTCCGCCCTGCCCCCTGCGTAACCTCCCTCCCCAACGTGTGTCTGTCCTGGGGCTTGAACTCAGGACCTTTGGTAATTTAGCAGAGAAGAGTCTCACAGACTTCCCTGTCTGGGCTGGCTTCAAGCTGTGATTTCCAGTGCCAGGCTCAGTAGATACTCTGTTCAGGACAACTGACACAGAGCACCTGAGATGTCTCTCCAGCATCATAGTAACTCAATGCCACCTGTATAGTTTGCGAATTGTGAGGCTCACTGAGCATAAATTCCATCTTAGTCATCTTAAAATTAACAAGTCCAGAATCTTTCATCATGTACAGAGAAGCTCCCCACCTCCAGCCCCTGGCAGCCAGTACTGGTCTTTGGTTGCCATGGACTTTTCATATAAATGGACTCATGCAATACGCAGCCTGGACTTTTCCTATAAACAGATTCATGCAATATGCAGCCTTCCATGTTTGTTTTCTCCAATCGGGTGTGTCGCCATGTCAGCCACATTTTATGAAAACCTCATTCCATGTATGTGAGTCCCTTTGCTTCCCCTCTCCTCCACGGATGCACACTGGCTGAGGCACCCTCTGCTCTTCCTAGTGGAGTAACAGGGCTGCTTGACCGGAGCTCAGTCTAGTTCAGGCAGTGCTGGCACTGCTGGCAGTGCTCAAGCAGTCTGCAGGGAGCCTTCTCCTTTTTGTAAATGTGGTCCTAGGGCTTGAACTCAGAGCCCGGACACTGTCCCTGAGCTTTTGTGATCACGCCTTGCAAGCTACCACTTGGCTACAGCTCCACGCTTTTGGTGTTTTTTTTTTTTTTGGGGGGGGGGGCCTGGGCGCTGTCCCACAGCTCTTCAGCTCAAGGCTAGCGCTCTACCACTTGAGCCACAGCGCCACT